AACTGCAGACGTCATGAATCACCGCTCAGCCTCTGTCGTGGTGCCCGTCACCAGATGAACCTCCAGCATGTCGTCCACCTGATCGCCTCCTTCCATTTTGGTGTTTTAATCCATTTCTCAGTTCGTCATTCGTTGGATTTTTATTTGGAATCAGAGCACATTGCGTCGTTTTCAACGTAAGAAAACACGAGACGTCGGCACACAGATCACAATAAATATTAAAATTCTTCCATTTCTTCTACTTTTACCGAAAATGTGAGATAAGAACGTCCCTGAATTCCTCCTGCAGAGCGCTCCATGACAGATTAGAGGTTGAACTCCAGCAGGATGAGGCGTGAGGCGTCCTGTGATGCTGCTGCTGTTGCCGTGGCTGCAGGCGGGACGGAGAGGTCGGCAACCGCACCGTCGCCATGGTTACAGATGAACACACAGTCGAGCAGATGGAGACAAACAAACCCGACTGTTGTGTTTCCGTCTCTGCGAGGACGTCCTCCGACACCTGCTCTCGCCATCTTTTATGTAATTTTCCTTCTTTGTGTTTTCGCGCCGTGTTCGGCCAAAACTCCCACCGCTGAAATTATTTTTATTTGTTGTCTGCTGACAGGATTCGTGCCGCGGTGGGAGGCTGAAGTCCTCCCTGTGGATGCTGTGGTTAGCTCAGAGGTACAGGCTATGGTGAGGCTGTAGTGTGAGGCAGCGTGATGTGGAGCGTGGTCCACCTTGTGTTCTTAAACATGCATTATTCATTCAGAAAATGTGTGTTTTGTTTTTTTTAGAGAAACATCTGCGCACGCAAACCCATTAAAAGCTAGTATTTATCAGACAAACCTCTGGAGCAGTGAGCCTCCAGGTTTACACTCTGGGCTGTCTGTTGCCTGAGAGGCAGAACTCAGGGATAAAAGTCGTTCTGCCCTGAGAGGCGACTCCGAGGGTTCAAGCTGTGACTCTCAGAGCTGCTCACATCTGGATTCCATGTTTCCTCCTCAGGCTCCCAGCAGACCGAGCACCTCTCGTCCTATCAGCTGACCGTCCCTCGACCAATCGGTGGCCGGCTGAGGAGGGACGCTGACGGAAGGCCGCCCAATCAGGTACCAGCGTTTCATCTCCGTGGGCTTTGATTTTCTGTTTCTGAAAACGACGAGTTGACTTCACGTTTGTGATCCAGACTTTTAACACAGAGCCAGTCAAACGCTCCCCGCTCACACCGTCACAGGAAAACAACTCACTTCTACATGTTGGACATCTGAAGCAGGACAGTTACGACTCCGGCCAGTTTTATTCACGTCTAATCTGATCTCAGAGCAGCTCTCATCTGACGAAGCCTCAACAGTTATTATTCTACAGCTGTTAGAGAAATCCTCACTGTCAGAACATGTGGCTCAGAGTTTAATCAAAGATCTTCAGTTTCCCGTCACAGAGCAGGAGACACGTGATCCACACTGAAGAAGCTGAAATCAGACTGTTGTTATTCAGCAGGTCCTTCACCTTATTGATCGATTATCAGAATGAATTAATTGACTAATCGATTAGTTCTTGCGGCTCTGTTGTTGACATCAACCTGCTGCCGAGTGACAGTGTCAAAAATGTAAAACTGAATAAACACACAAGTTTACAGTGAAGTAAATCCACAGCAGACAAAAGTGTGAAGTAGGAACAGTGATCTAGGATCTGTGTCCTGTAAAAATAAATAATGTCTAAAATAAAAACAAACTGGGAACAAATGCAGCTACCTGCAGTACAGCTGAGTGACGGTTCGTTTCCTGAAGCATTCAACTCAGAACGGATCAGAACCTCCCACAGTGAGCAGGTGTCTGTCAGTGTGTTACCGTGGAGACGCAGGTGTGAGTCCAGACAGTTCAGAACGGTTCAGAATGAAACCGGATCCTTTCTGCTGCTGCTCAGAGCGAAGTGAACTCTGTCAGAGGATCCGTGTTCGTCTGCTGTCGACTTACAAGCCGCAACACGCTCTGAGCGCGCTCCTCGTACTGAGCGCGCTCAGAGCGACGGATACGAAGCATGAAGTCTGGGCCTGTTGTCACTCGTATGAACCTGCCGAGACTCTGGAGAGAGTTCTGAGCGACGACGTGAGATTAGAGTCAGCAGGTGTGTTGAGCCGGAAGTCAGAGTTCTCAGAGCCACCAGGGCGGCTCTCTTTTAACCTGCTAGGTCTCCATGGTAACGGATGCTGTGGAGCTCGGTCTCCATGGTAACTGATGCTGTGGAGCTCGGTCTCCATGGTAACTGATGCTGTGGAGCTCAGTCTCCATGGTAACGGATGCTGTTTTCCTCTCAGTCTCTCTGAGGAAACTCTGGCTGCAGCTCACCTGAACCTCTCTGAATGTTTCCTGTTGGTCTCAGCTGAGTCAGTGGTGGAGGATCAGAACCAGGAGGAGGGAGGTTCTGGTTTTACAGAATCTGGTTCGTGTCAAATTTTAAGTGAGACATGAAGAATAAAGTGTTTTTTCTTAGATTTGGTTCATAGACGGTCAAAGGTGAGTTTAAATCTGATTCTTTCTGGGTTCAGACGATCAGTGAAGTTCAGCTCTTTGCTCTTTGATTGGTCCAGTGTCGGCTGTTTCACGTAGCTACGGAGTTATTTTAAATATATGATGTCGTTGTTATGAACATCCTCTACTGGACCCTCGGGCTCCACAGCAGCACAGAACCGCTTCTGTTCTGGTGAGCCCGTGTCCTTGTCTGACCTCCGACCCGCTGCGATGACAGATCCTGACTCTCCTCCAGCTCCACGTTAATCCTCACCTGCTGCTCATGAACTCACCTGCCAGGTGAGTCAGAGCCAGGTGACCTTGGAGCTGCTGCTGTTCTTCCACCTGCCGAGCGTCTGTGATGAGCCAAGAGGAGATGTTTGGATCAGAGCCACAGACAGTAAAGAGTTGATCTGCACATCAACTGGACTTCAAGTTATTTTACAGAAGTTCTTCTTTTAAACTATTTTCTGAACAGTTTTATTATTAATTAATTATTATTTTTGGACACGTATGAAGTGATTTTGATCAGATTGGATGATGGTGGAACCTCTTCCTGCTGTTCTGGTCTTTATTCTAACATCATCTGTGTGTGTCTGCAGGTCTCGTACGTCATCAGCCTGAATGGAAACGATCACGTCGTCCATCTGGAGAGAAACGAGTGAGTTCTGGTGCGCCGGTAACGGTGACGATTGTCGTGTCAGAAATCAGCCAGTTCAGCAGCAGGTTCCTCCTGACCTCCCGGGAATCAGCTGCTTCTGTATCTACATCCACAGAAAACACTGGAAACAAAAAACGAAGGAAAACCAAACCCAACGAAATGTCAAAAACTGAAACGAAGAAAAGCGACGCACCAGATTAAACAGGAGGAAACTCTCCCGTTGAAACCAGTTTGTTTGATTTGTAGCGTTAATCCTCACGTCTGTAAAAACGACTTGTGAGGTTTTTTTCGTCTGTCAATCAGTGAGATGCTGCTGAAGCTCAGATCAGATCCATGTGATTGGATTCAGTCAGCAGAGAACCGCTGCTGGTCGGGTCACACAAACTCAGAACCAGACTCATGATGGAGAAGTTCAGTTTCTGGGTTCTCTGTGTTTGTGGTGCCTGAAATCAGAGTAAACAAGATATATGTGTCCTAATAATTAAAGTGAGAAGTTCAGTGAACAGAATCCTTCAGAATATCTTCTTATGAATCATGTGTTCCAGTCTGGAGCTGTCAGGATTTCTACGAACATGCAGCAAATTGTAGGAACTTTTTGTTCAAAATCCTGGATATTAATGCACCAAAACATCCAAAACCTTAACATGAACACACTGAAATGTCAAAAGCCTGGAAATGTTATAAACCTGAATATGAACTCAGCTAAACATTAAAAGTCTGAATATTAGCACCTAGAAATGTAAAAAATCTGAATGTTAACTCACCAAAACATCACAAACCTGAATATTATCTCATCAAAATGTAGAAACATGGACATTAATGCCGGAAAATGTTAAAGATCGGAACATTAACACAACCAAATGTAAAATATTTTTCCACCTGTCGCTGCCTGCTTTTGTGTCCTGCTTTGGTTCCACACCCGCCGTCACCAAAAACCTCAAAACAAAAACACCCGACCACAAAAACCTGAATACTGTCAAAATCGTAAATATTAATGACTGAAAACATCACAAACCTGAATATTAACACACCAGAACCTCAGAACCGTGTGTTCTACCTTCAGCCAGGTGGTCTCATGTTGAGGCTCCTGAAGCACCTGTACAGTAGTTACCTGAGAACCCACCTGGACCCTGCTGATGAGTCTGGTTCTGTGTTCTGTTGTTTAGGCTGCTGCTGCCGGCGGACTTCACCGTGTTCACCTACGGACCGGACGGCTCGCTGCTCACGTCCACGCCACCTGTACAGGTAACACCCAGCAGGTTCTGTCCACTCCAGTTCTACCTCAACACGTTCTGACGACAGGAGGAACAGACCAAAGTGGACCAGAACATTTCTGAGGAAGTGTTCTACACACCAGGGTCAACCTTTTATTTTGACAGCGTAGTGTACCTCCATGCATCCTGTTAGCCTTTGTTTTTTTAGCTAACTCTGGGCTTTTACTTTGAAAAGCCCACATATGTGAACTTCCTTCCCTCAGCCTTGTTCCTGTTTAGAGAAAACAACAGCAGCAGCTGCTCCACGTCCTTAAGCTCTGGAGGGACTCTTATTGTGAAGTTTAACCCAACAGATGTGGAGCCACTGAACAGTCCGATAGATGTTGGTCCAGGACACGTTAGAACCTGTTAGAACACATCAGAACCTTTAAGAACATGTTACAACACATTGCAACCTGTAAGAATATTTTAGAACCCACTAGAACCTGTTAGAACCCATTAGAACATGTTAGAACCCATTAGAACATGTTAGAACCTGGTAGAACATGTTAGAGCCTATTAGAAGCTGTTAGAACCACTTAAATCCTTTTATATAATTTATAATCTGTTAGAACTTATTAGAACCAGCTACAACCTGCTAGAACCGGTTAGAACCAGCTAGAAGTCGTTAGAACCTGTTTGAACTACTACAACGTTACACACTGCTGATGGAGGCAGCCATGTTTGTAGTCCTTCTTTCTTAGTCCAGTAACAGTCAGCCAATCAGCTGTCAGTCACTGGTTGCTATGGTGATTCCCTCCACAGTTTGAGTGACAGGAGCAGACAGACAGATGGAGGACGAGACCTGGAACAAACCATCACACCTCCAAACCTACATGTCGCATTACAATCGTTCTTTCACCACGTGAAGCAGAACCTTCCTGAGAACGTTCTGGTGTGGTTCCCATGTCCGTGCTGTGTTTTGTACAGATGTGGCGGCAGGTCAGAAAGGTTCTGGTTTCACCAACGTCGTAGAGCTCAGGTATAATGGGAGTCACTGAGGGTTCTGTTTTAATGGACTGTCGAACACGTGGAGGACGTTTGTTATCGGGTCAGATGTTCATCAGCAGTTTATGGTCGACCTCATCACTGACAGCAGGAGACAGATGTCAGCTGTGTGAGTCTCACTGGAAACAGGCTCGGTTTAGGGTTCTACTCATTTTCAACCATTTTATGTGTTTTTGTCGCGGGCTGTCCGGGTGGCTGGTCTCAGACGGTGCTGGAGGTGAAGGTGCTGGATGTTCTGCTACGTTCTCTGAGGCGTCTTTGGCTGATGGTGGAGAAATGAACCTTCAGTTTACGGCAGCAGCTCTGGTGGACATCGTGTTGTGATAAAATCACATCTACACCTTTTATTGTGTCAGCCTGAGACACACCTGAGCGATAATGCTGCTGTCCAATCAGCATGCTGATACGCCACACCTGTGAGGGGGAGGGCTCACCTGGGCAGAGGGGAGGTGCTCACTGACACAGATGTGTGAACAACATCTGAGAGGAACATAGAGGACATAGAAGTGCAGCTGAAAAATGATCATTGGTAGTTTAAACCTGCAGTAACAACAGTTCCTGTCTTCATCCACCACGCGCACATTTTAGACGAGACTCGTTCTTTATATCGTCTGCAGCCGTTTGTTGGTTTTTCCACATTATTTGGTGTCCGTATATAAGATGCTAGAAGCTGGATTCACTTCCTGCTGCTGCTCCGCTGGAGCCCTTTGGTTTACTGAAGCAGGCCTTTCCCAGCCCCAGAGGCATGATGGGAGTTTCCCTGAGTCACTGTTAGTAAGTACGATGATATTTCCTGCTGCTCTCTGAGCTCTCCCTGTTTGTTATCTCACTCTGTGAATCATTAAAGATCGGCAGCGGCGGGCGCTCGCTTCCTGCTGCAGCTCGCTTTACTGGGAAATCCTGCTCAGTTCATCAGAAACACAATAAATACACAATAAATACACAATAAACACACATTAAATACACATTAAACACACGCTGCTGCGTCATCTGAGGGAAAGCAGCCAGTGATGAGCTCATGAAACCTGATCTGTGTTTGTGAGCAGCTGTAGTTTCAGTCCTCTCACATTGAAAGCAGGAGTTTAAACATTAGTTCTGATGTAACGTTCTGCTTCAGATACGTTCTGACAGAACATGTTGGTTTCTGGATCTTCATGAGGTTGTGCTTGTATTCATCCTGTACATATTCTACCAGTGGGTTCTCCTGGAGGAGCTGAAGCGCTGTGACAGGATAAAGTGTGAAGGAACATTCAGGCTGCACACGGACAGCCGATGTCATCCATCTCCTGGTGGATTCATAGAGGCCATGCGCTGACAGGAGGAAGTAGAGGAAGCTTTAACTTCATGCAAACATCCACTGATGCAGTGCAGCTGACAGCAGGACGTGACTGCAGCAGTAATCCAGAGGAAACACTGCAGCACAACTCTCCACCACAGCAGGATGAGTTCCCTTTGACAGCCTCATAATCTGCACATGAGAGCA